AGGTGACGAGTGAATATTTTCAAATGAATAAAATTTCATGTTAAAATTGTATAAATTTATCTACTGATGCCGTGGCTGCGGCTTAGCATCCGAAGCTCTGTATGAAAATCTTGATTTCAAATAACACACAATTTTATTTGTAGAAAAGCTTTTATGTCAAATAGCTTACCTCTAAAATTAAAGTCCACCTAATGATATTATAAAAATAGTGGATGTGATTAAGAATCATCAGACCAGTCCATACTGAAGTTGAGAGGGAGAGTTTTGTTCAGAGTTAAGGAGAGGAAAGAAGAAACATGTATTTACTTAGCATTCAGCTGAGTTGGACGACAAATTGTAAAAAATGGCTTCCTTAGCTGACGTATGTGAATGCACCAAATAAGTTTTGAAAATGTGAGGAACACTTGTGAATATATTATTTACACTAGTAAAATTTATGGTTTAAAAATAAAATCAATTTTGCAAAGATGTGATTAAAATGTTTCCTTTGTAATGCTTTGTGAGTTTTCATGTGTTTGTTGTTTGAATCCTTGTGGAGGAACACCTATGCATATTTGATAGAAAAATTCTTCAGTAACTTAAATTAACGAAGACAAAGAAAATCAAATTTTAAATTAACGAAGGCAAAGAAAATCAAATTTGAAAATTTATTTGCATCTTTGTTAGATCACATGACATTTGATTTATGTGGAAGGAACAGATAAATGATTTGACTTAAAAAAAGTGGCCGTACCCTCAGTGTTCAAGTTAAGCATGTTGCATTGTCTAAGTTATGGGTAACTACAAAAACAAATTTTCCACTGAGTGGAGTGGTTTTCGCTTACTCAGAAAGCTATACGCGTCTTTTATCATTTTCTTCAATATGCATGTATGGACAAAGTTTCTTTTGTATGCTTATTATCAAGAATTTAATAAAGGTCATCACGGAAAAGTCCTGATCATGATTTGGCCTGGTTTTATGGTCTTTTGACCATAGATTCAGATTTTAAAATATTTGGGTTTACTTAAATAAGCCCAAGTTTGTCATTGAAGTATGTAATAACTATGGCAAAAAATTGCAGGAGGTTATATATTAATATTTAAAATTGTTTTATTATTAGCATATTTATATAGAGTCAACAATTCTTTTGTATATAATTAATTTTACTTCTGTATTTTCACTTCGTGATTTTATAAAATAAGTGGGCTAAAAAATTTAATCACAGTTTCATTCAGTCAAAACTGATAATTTAGTTCATAGATAGGATACAAGAAATACACTGCTCGACATTGAAAATGCAACACCAAAGGATTGGTCAAATTATGCAAATTTTAGAGTAGACGCAAGTCACGAGTTATGCGATGATTTGAAAGCACAGCTCTCCGCGCACGTGAAGTAAGATAAGGGAAGGAACAGGCAGATTGGGCAATATTCGTGTTGTTATTTTCTGCCAACGAATTATTGAAAAAAGTTGGTTTTGTCCCGAGGATAGTGTAATAGGAGATCCAGGTCGCCGTCGAAGGCATTTCCAGCAGATAGATGATTTTACGAGGGGTATGGGATCGGACTGAGAAGGGTGGGTTGGTCCTTATGTCAATTGCAGCTGATACCCATGGGAGCGAGCACGGTGCAGCCTATGGCAAAACAGGTGGAGAAGGAGGGGTGCAGGTGCAACAGGGTGACGTCCACGCGTGGATCGATGCATCCGCCGACAAGCTGTGGCGGGCGAAAGTCACTTGTACCGCGATTCGAAATGTGCAAGATACCCTTTGTTCCCTGTGACCAGAACCATTTCCTGTCGATTGGCTGAACATGGCCTGCACTCACGGCGTCCGTTAAGAAGACTGCGCCATTGACTCCACAGCATAGACGCCAACGTTTAGAATGGTGACGGACTGGAGTGATGTGGATGACAGAATGGCAAAACTTCGTGTTCTCAGATGAGTCACGCTTCTGTTTATCCAGTGACAGTCGCCGCATATGTGTGTGTCGTCAATGTGGCGACAGATCTAATCCGGCAGTAACTGTGGAACGCCTCACCGTGCGACAGTGTGGTTTGGAGCGCTATTGCCTACGATTCCAGGTCCACTTCTATTCATTTCAGGGTCTAGAAGGCCCGATACGGAAACATACTGCGCCGTTGGCAATCCCTCCTCAGGCTGCTATGCAATTTTTCCTCAGATAACACAGTGCTCGCATCTGCCAACATGCTCTGCAAGGTATACAGATACTCCCTGGCCATCGTATTCCTCTGACCTTCACCAATCGAACAGTTTGGATGTGATTGGACTCATTTGCAGACTCTGCCCTGTCGTTCAGAATACGAACTGTAGCAAATGGTTTGAAAGGGAATGAGAGCCTCCTCAGACACATCCACACTCTTATGACTCTATGCCTAGACGTGTTTCTTCGTGCATCGCTGTCCTGCGGTGGTCCTACACTATTGCCAACGGTTCTCGCTCTGTATTCTATCATTTTGAAAAAATCACTTATTGCTTGCTGTATTTCTCTTTTTCCAAATTTCATCACTTTCTGATGACCAATAGTGATGACAGGACAGTGAATAAGGAGTGTTAAGCACACATGTTTCACTGCCACAGAAACATGTTCCTTTTGATTGAAAAATTTAAAAAATAATAATAATGTATGGTAAGTACTGTTTTAGCTTAATTGCTTTCACACATGCAAAATGGAAAAATATTATATGCAGGCTATCTGTTAGCTATCCTCAAGATTTTTTTTTAATTAGGCATATTTATAATTCGCATTTCTCCTAAGAGAAATTATATATAAAAATTGAAGGTTTTATAGTATATAATGTGCATGTGTATGTTTATAGTAGAGAGTATTACAGTACAATGCAGAAATATTCCATACTGCTTTGCACAGAAAGATATGTTGCAACTAAGTATGGTCTTTCAAAAAAAATATCTCTAGACATTTCGTTATTTTTCTTTTTTCCCTTCTTCCGTTGCCTCTTGCTTATAAAGGGCAAATAAAAGAGCATTCTGTGAACCAGTAAACTTTGTGTTGACTAAAAAGCCATGACACAAAACGAAAGAGCAGAGCGAGCGCGAGAAATCAGTGAGCTAGAAAACAGCGCGCGAAAGGTGTAGGCACATCCACGCATGCGTAAATTTAGCTTCTCTCATTGGCCACAGCTTAGACCCCCGCCTCCCAGGTGTGAACGGATGTCCCGTATTTTATGCCCTTATGACTATGCCTCTAAGCGCTTTACGCCCACGTCTGAACGCAGCTTTAAAATACTAAAAACTGAAAGTCCTGTCAAGTTGAGGGAAGAGAGACCTTCTGATCAGTCTCTCATCAAAATTGAGGCAGAGTTGCCTTCTTTGCGCTTTGGGACCATATCTGTACGACTAGTGGTCAAGTTCTGATTTTGAAAGACAGATACGTCGCCTTACACCTATCTTCTTCCTAATGTATTAGCTTAGTGTCCTGTGAGGTAAGTGAAATTTTATTGCACAAATTTGCATACATTCATATGAAAGAGATATTTTCGTGAAATTGCTACAACAATGCACATTTTACGTCTTTTTTGGGTTCCTATCCCCTTAAAAAAAAAAAAAAAAAAAAAAATGCTAAAAAACAGTCTTCAGGAGGAGTGATATAAAAAGGCAATATGGCGTTGGTTCATTATGATTCTGCTTGTTCACTCCAGATTTGATTCGAAGCTACAGATCGTGCTAACTCTAACATTTATAGGTCTTTAATATCTTATAATTGATGAGCATATTTTTATCTAACCAATAATTCTCCATCTTAATCATTTCAGCATAATAACTATACTTACCTAAACATTCATCCCAATGGTATACAAAATATTTTTATCTGCACAGAAGTCGGTGCCGAGCACGCGAAGCTACGTCATGATGGTTTGCTGAACTTCATGTCGATTCTGAATCATCTGCTAGTCGAGTGGCTCTTCAGTGGTCCAATGGGACGAAGCATTTCTAATTGCTCTGTCCCGATTGTAAGGAAAAAGCACCACCAATACCACCCACTAGTAGTAGTGTAGTAGTTATATACACTATTGGGTAAACTGGTGGCTTGGCACTGCCATTTAGCAATAAACGCCTGTTCGTAGCAATGCAGATAGTTTTCAACGAATTGCTTCTCGCAGCTGTTTCTAAGGAACATAATTGACCTCTCTTGGCTTGGAGGAAATCAGCAAGAAGATCCCTTATAATCCCCCCCCAAAAAAAAACTCACATTATAATCTTTGCTGATAGAGTTGCTTTTCTTTGCAAAATGAATTTCTTGGAAGATATCGATGTGTGTTTAAGTGTATATACATTTCATTGCCTGTAACAATACACTTCAGATATTGCTTCAATTCCTGACGATACTGCGTAAGAGAGAATCCGACCCAGTGGCTTTGTGATCTGTGAATTACTCAGCACCCTTGTGTAATTCTGTATTCAGTATTCACGAACGTGCTTGGTCACCCATATAACCGTTTATCTTCTTGTATTCTTGGATGCCTATCCTACAATTATCGATCGCCTACAAATTACACCTGTTTCCGTGAAGCAACATTTATAATCTTTCTTTTCAAGCTGGCAATGAATTTGAAATGAATTCTGCGGCTGGTATTTTATGCATTTTTAATAACTGACCATGTTTCAGTAAGCGACAACATAAGACGCTATCCGGTGACTATGCGCCACGCTAGTTATCAATTATTGCGGTCTCGCATAAAATTATGATGCCACAGAGAATAATAAACCCATATGAAATCTTATTATAGACACTTATTAGATTTTTCGGCATGAGAAATATGAAAAATCAACCCAATCCTTGTCGAGATTCAAAGCATGAATCTTCCACTGTGTTAGATGGGCGTACTAACTTGCATTCCGAGAGCACGCACAGAATGCGATAGCTCTTTACATTGTTACGATATTTACTGAGCTGCTCTTCATAAATCATCTAGTCAATGGATAACTTTAAAGTAGTTTTTTTTTTGGGGGGGGGAGGGTTTAAAAAAAGTACATAAATGTTTTGTTTATATATTTATTTAAAAAACATATATACAAAATGCTCATGGAACAAACCCTTTTAAAGGCAGTAGAATATCACACAAAAATGAACAGTATGCAGGTTTTTAAATATGCATATTACATTCTTCTCATGTACTGAGAACTGAAAGATGAAATCAGACCAGGGTCTCTGATGTACATTTGCAAGAAAATGGGACCAATATCAACGTAAATGTTCTTTCAAAAGTTACAATTCATTTAAACTCATGTTTAAAATAGGACTGTGACTAACGTCAACAAAACCATATGTTTAGAAAGAGAGTATTCTCATTCAAAAGGCAATAAGTATATAAATATGAAATTTAAATGTCACCCTGCTTGAAGATATACATTGCAATGGTTTCATTATTTGATTATAAATTATAACTATAGAAAAATATGAAAAACTGAACAATTATGCTATATTAATCTAGTATAACAATATGATGTTACATGTTATTATTATATCATTAGTCTAATCCATAAAACCATAAAGTACATGTATGTCTTAACCATTTAAAATATAATTTAATTTGCAGGAAAATTATATATTCGTTATCTTCTAGTGACACTATTCCGTCTTCTAATTCTACCTTTTATTGCACATAGTTAATTTTATCGATTTTTTAGTATTAATTGTTTTATAATATTGTTCCAATATTCTTCGCGAGATTTTAAATATGAACTTCATTTCAGCTATTTTTGAAGACTATTTTTTAATGCAGTTCAACAATATTGAATGTGTATGTAACTTTTACAAATGAATTAATACACAAAACTGAAAATTCTCTTTTCTGCTCTTTGCATATGATTTCTTCATGTCTTTATATAAAAATTGTATAATTTTATCAATGAAATTGAATTTAAACTTGCTGATGAAAAATATGATAGTCTTGTACACCTAAGGATTTCATTCGTAAATAAAATGACTGTTATTTTAGAATGCTTATTTTACGTTCAAGAATGCTGTTGCATACGTGTTCGAAAATTTAATCTTGCCTTGCGTATGGCTTATTTTAAAGTCTTTTAATAGCTGTTCTCTGGGAATTAAATAATATGTGCCTGCACAGATAAAACTTTTCAACTTACAGCTCTCCTGGAGCGTATGTTAGTCTCTTGCACTGTATAGTCTGGGGAAAACGAATTACATACATTATGTGCAAATTGTAAATTCTTTCGACCCAAGAGAAATATATTTTTTTCTTTTTCCCATTATAAAAATCACACCTTTCATCCGGGAGATGAAAAAATAATGCGGCATAGTAAAATTGCTTTCATGTAAAGAACGAAAAGGGGAGCAATCATCGTTTAATGATCCAAACTTGTCGACCTCCGTTTTCATCATATGCAGTTGTTATCTTGTATTTTTTTAATTTTGATGATGATCCTGATGTTGAGAGGAGATCAGATTTCTTATCATCTGTGTAGTAACTTCCTTTAGATTTATTTTTAGAGACAATAACGAACACTTCTGGATTGCCAGCAGAATTGTTAGATAGGTCAGCTGATGAATCTTGTGAGTAATCTGCATGAACTGGAGGAGACAGTAACACTTTCTGTGCAGACTGTTGCAGAGTGTCGCTGAAGATTTCTGACGGGCTGCTTGATGATGTTACGTCCGGATCCTCAATGACCAAGACAGAGGGGTAGTTATGATGTTCCTGCTGCTGCTGTGGTATGTCCAAAAGCTGACGAACAACACTGTCAGCTATATTCAGTGATTCTACAGAACTTGGTCTACGATTTTTGGAGGGAATACGGACAGCTTTAATCTGCAGATCTGATGGCAAAGGTCTATAATGATGATGATGATCATTTATCAAAGCTGAGAGAACTAAAGATGATGGTGCAGACGAAAGAGGTGGGACTAGAGATACTGTTGAAGGTGGCAGAAGTCGCGCATGGTGTGAGGGATATGGCCGATAGGGATGCATGCCGTATACCGTTGATGTCCTGGAGGGTGCTGGCATTGGTTGATACATTCCTGGGGGAGGTGGTAAATATTTCACATGGTGTCTCTGAGCCGCAGCTTTCATGGGATCATGCCTCATTAAATTCATTATTGGTTTAAATGGATTCAGTGAGAATTTAGATGTGCTAACTCTGGGACGTGGTACTTTGAGTCGATTTATCTGCCCTTCCGCTGTTGCCCATATGCAGATTAGTAGAAACAAAGTCAAAATCTGGAAAAGGAAAATATATATATGTATATATATATGTTTAAAATTAAAGGAAATTAGTAGAAAAGCAGTTTTTTAACTTAATCAATTAAGAATGTAATTATATTTATTTTATAATTCTGCTTCTCAAGATTAAAATAAATTATTAAAATATTTTTAAAAGAGTAAATAAAAATCTGCATATATTAAATATGAATCAAATTTAAATAATAGAAATTCATTTTGATAATGCGCTTGTTTCTGTAGTTGACTGATTATTGTGCGGTTGAAACTCAAAAACAAAGATGCAGACTAAAGAATCGATTTAATTTTTATTAAGATTCCATCTTAGGCGTCAATTTCAGCAGAAAACGTTAATTGCATTTTGCAGAACAAGCGTTGTGTTTTCAGCAGGATGATAAAGCCATATTACTATTCTGTTTTTAAAGGAATATATATTCTTGTAAAATAACGATTGCATCATTTTTATATGGAAATAAAATGAGCTTTTTCTTTCAAAATTAAAGTCAAAGAAAGAAGGAATTGTGCTAATTATTAAAATCCTGAATTATAGGCATGTTGACTGAAAATCATATTTAAACGTAAAAATAGATTATAGAAATATTATGCTATGATTGTAAATGCATATTACTCCGAAAATGTTTCATACATCGAAATGATTCAGGTGTAAAATACGGAGAAGTAATGCTAATTTTGGTGGATGTGTGGTAATGATTTGACACTTACAAGGACAGGGTCGTAGGAAATGGACAATTAGAAGCCTCCATCTTATTTAGCCCTGTCGGAAATTTTATATTTCAGGCACGGCTATCATAACACGAAGCACCCCCTTCTCTTGAATATGCCAGAAATGTTGGGTATATCAAAAAGGACTTTTAATCTCCAGCTTTGCTAAAGCAAAAGACTGCAGCAGGTATCCCATCTGCAAGTGTATAATTTAGTGAATTTGGCACGAGATCCCTAGCACTTATTTCTAAATCTGCCATGTGCCAAACACGGCAGTGTCACAAATTACTGTAATAGAACGAAACTATTAATCACTTCATAGCATTTAAACATTTGAACTATTTCGATATGCTTACACTATATGTTTTAAATTCCCGGCATTCCTTTTCGCTGATACTGTAGTGGAAAATGGAAAAAAGAGGGAGGGGGGTAAAGTTTGAATTTTTCATTAGGAATAATTAAAAAAATAACAAAAGCTATTTCAGGAATTTATTTTCTGTTCTCTCATACTTCTTAATGATAATTATGATTGAGGATTAAAAGCTTAAATTTGCGCTGTCTGGACTTCGTGTTCTTATCTTTTCGTATTCACCAAAGAAAGTGTGAGCCGAATGTTATTCATATCAGCCTTATTTTCATCCTTAGATCACGAAATACCTTGAGGTATAAGTCCGTGAAATACGTAAATAAAAACAGAGAACCCGATTTAAGCTAGTATTGCTCGTAGAAAGAGACTTGAATGGGATCTCAACCTGGATGATCAGCGTTGCGCGTTTGCTAAGCGGTGCTTCCTATCGAGGTCGTCGCTCGCCCGTTACTAATGCATGTTGCTGTCTTTTTCTCGCTTATTTCTCCCAAGCGAAGACGAGAGCGAACTTGTAAAAACGGATATTGTGGTGAAGAAGTATTTACTTAGATTATAAACATGAATATGTGCTTACAAATCTAAGCCACTGCCTTCAGGTGCAATAAAGCTAATCATGCGTCATCCTAATAAATTACTAAACATAAACACTTGCAATCCCTTCCTCCAAATCTACCAGAAGGATATCCGTCTTTTAATTTCAGTCCATCATTTCGAAATTCTTAACAAATAAAAAAGCTTCTTTAAAAAGTAATTGAATTCAACTACGAGAAAATTCCTTTATATGCAAAATGCTATTTCAGTTTGTTTCTCAGATTTTCGTCAAATCTAAGATGATCCCAAAATCAGCGATACATCTGAAAAATCAGTCGCAAAAAAAGTATATTTATATCTAAATCTATATCTATCTACCTGTATATATATATATATATAATGCATATATAAGGACATTGTTTTAGTGATTAAAAGAAAATCTGTAATAGCATTTATAAACTTCGATGTGAACCTCCTGTTGCTTGAAGCACATCGAAACAGGTACTGAATTTATATTCAAATCCGCCCCCAAATAGTCCAGTTTCTTGAACTGTTTCAGTTTTGACCTCTGAAATATTTAACACTTGCAGTAGTTGTACTTTTTCTTTCACATAAATCTTACAAAATGGAATGTAATATCTGGCAAATGTAGTAACTAAAAGAATAGACCATCCTGATCAATTCATTTATTGATGGGGAGTTTCTTATTTAGACACTCTTGTATAAATTTCTCTCAAATGAAGGTATGTTCAATATTGTTCTTAATAACATTTGGTAAAAAAGAGGAATTCTGAGAATGGGAACATTTTTTTACTCATATTTAAGTAAAACAACTTTTGAGACCCCAAATTTCGGTAAAACGTCCCCCCCCCAATAAGAAATGCCTGATTAGGCTTCAGAAATAAAGATATGAGCAGTCAACCAATTAGGTCTTTGTACCTAAGGTTTTATTTCCTTCCGGGACTTGTTCCAAATTTCCAGAAATATTTGCTATTTATCTTTGCACAGTTAAAAATTAGACATTATGACAAACAAAAAAGAAAATTACTATCAATTAAAATTTAAAAAAAAAATATTATTTCCGTATTTACAGTTAAAATAAATTTATGAAACAATAATGCAAAATACTTCAGGCAAGTTCATTCAAGTAATAAAAAGTTAATTTATGGCATGTTAATTAATACCGGGATGTGTTTGGAATGCGGGGAAATTTCCCGCGAACTGTAAAACAATAAAATAATTTCTTTTTCAGGGATAAAGCAGCAGTATAGTGGTAGCAATGGTGGTTACTGTATCGTTGGACCTAGGTTGAATCCCGGAGAAGGCAGGGATGTTTTTCAGAGTTTAGTGTCTGTACGGCATGGGGGCACTTTAAATATTGGCGAGTCAAAAGTTCTTTCGAGTGGTTTGTGTGTATAGGAAGAAGGGTGGGAGACTCTTTGGGTGTTCTCCATAAAAACTGTATCAAAGTTGTATAGTGTGACTATGCATGTCAAGCACCAGTGGGACTATACATGTCAACAGTGCAGTGGGACTATACATGTCAACAGTGCAGTGGGACTATACATGTCAACCACCGGTGAAATTTTAGTCCCTCCCTATTTCTTCCTGTTCTTATAATAAAAGTTTCTAATTGTAGCAATGTCTGTAAGTTTTGTGTAATTGTGTCTTGTTTATATTTTGTCATAATTAATTGTTTTAATATGTCAGGTCTTTCAGATCTCTGGGCCTTCACGTTGATCTTAAAATGAAGAGACCGTTTTATGTTACAGATTATAATTACTTTAACACTCGAGAAGAGTTATAAATTACGTTATTACGCTAAGGAATAGAATAAAAATATATGAAGCATAGTAAGTGGAAAAATAAATTCCCAACTTTGTTAATATGACATTTTTAGCTTAAAGCTTTTTTCAGAGATTTCTCCATACTCACTCTATCTCCATGCTTTTCAGATAAATACCTAAGCTTCAACTGATGATGCACGAAAGAAAGCTTGTGACTTTATGCGCAAGACACTTAAGTGACACTTTATGCATAAGGATTGCTATAATCGTTCAATTTCTAAATCACTATATATGTAGTAAAATGCACAAAAAAAAAAAAAAAAAAAAAAAAAGAACTAAGCAGGAAAGTGAATAAGTAACATTCGACTGTAAAAAGGAATTCAGAATTCTATTTTATCTTCTTTCTTTTGCTAGGAAGCAATCTAATGAAAAAGGCCCGGTGGCGTTGTGGCTAGCACATCACAGGTCCGAGATTTGATCCCCGGGGCTGGGCCAGGTTAACTCAGCCTTTCTTTCCTTGAATGGGTCGATAAAATGAGTATCAAGTTCGCTTGCGGACTAAACACAGGGGTTCTACGACAAGCTGACCTCCCATCCAGGGTAGATGCTCATGCACCCGGAGCCTACGGTTAAGAAAGCAAATTAAAGGGCACTGCAGGCCATGGCTCACTAAAGGCTGTTGCGCCACTGAGTTTAGTTTAATGTAAATAAAATATATATAGCCTGCTTTTACTGACAGTAACTGGTTTACTTTAACAGTGATCTTACTTTCCGTATATTTATTAAACGTCTCAGTTTTGTATGCCATTCTTTTCTCTGAACAGAGTATTTAAAATCATTGTATCTCTAAGAGGTGTAATTTCGGCTAGAGCACACTGAGAAAATTTCTGTCATTTCTTTGCTGCAAGTTTAATCAAGATATCAAACATAAATTCTGTTATTCATTGCAATTGTTCTTTTAATATTAAACAAGACTGACGTTGAAACTATATATTGAATACACGTATTAATTTAGAAGTCAAACAACAAAAATCAGCGTTATATTTTGCAAATTTTCATAAGACTAGTTTCTATGGTTTTACCGAACCGTCATCCTCAGCTGCAAAAGCGCAAATAAACGAGATAAGATATAGCGATTAGATAATATTGGAATGGCTGTACAGAAGTCAAGATACTGGCGCCATCTATTGATGAAACGAGAACTAAAACAAAATTTCCTTAAAGGCTGAAGGCAAAGATGGATTGAAATTAGTGTCGTTAACAAGAACAGAAAGATTTTTTGAATGTGAAACGCCTCTAGAAAATCTAATTCACCAATGGAAGATGTTTTTTGAATAATTTTGGCTGCAGAAGAATTGAAAGTGTGATTTTCGGGCCAACAATACTGGGCAACAAAGGACTTCTGTGTTACCTTTTTTTCTAACATATGTCTTATGTTCCTTAATGCGAAATTTTAAGGCTCTCTTAGTTTGACCAACGTATTTAAACACACTGGCAAGGAATTCCTGTAAATACCTCAGGAATTCATATCCAAAAAGGGGTCCTTGAGTATGGAACTCGGAATTTTATTGGTGGGAGAAAAAACGACCCGA